AGAAATCTCGGAGTCTCCGAAATGGGGTGAAATAAAATAAAAGAACCTAATTGTTATTAACTGTTACCATAGTATTCATAATCTGCTGTAATCACTATTAATCATTGAAATTGCTGGAGCATACTGAAAGAATGTCAGATGGCCGAGAGGTAAAAACTGTATAAACAAGGGAGATGAATGGTCGTAGACCACGAGGTAGACCAAGAAGACGTTGGAGAGATATCATCTAGACAGACCTGCAAACACTTGGTGTCACCAACTGGAAAGAGAAGGCCAACCAGAGAGATGAATGGAGGCGGGTGATATCTGCAGCAATGAACCTCAAGGGCTCGGAATGCTGAAGAAGAAGAAGAAGAAGAAGAACAGGACGCAAGGAATGTGGGACACGACCACAAAAATGTAACAAATTAGACAACACTATAGGGAAAAAGGGGCGGGGCGGACCACTGTGGTATAACGGCTAGACGCTTACATATGGATCATAAAGTCATGTGATCCACTCCGTTCCGGCAACCTTAATTTGAGACGCACAATAGAACTTACTAATGACATTTATTTTTACATGGTCTAATTGTTGACTGTTTCATATAGCTCTACTGTCATTTGGAAGTGGCCAGTTCGAACCTAGTGCGCTTCTTTAGCTTTAACTCATTCCGGCGTTTAATATGTTTCTTTCTTCATTTCCGTCCTTTACTCCTATCAATAAACAGCAGATCAAGTGGTTTGGCCATCTCGTTAGAATGTAGCAAGATCAAATACCAACACAAGCACTACATCTCAGAAGACCAACTACAAGAACAAGATGACGGCTGCGGAAAACTTGGATCGACAACATTAAAGACACTCTACACCTTCACGGCATGACAATAGCCAGTGGCAGCCAACGTGCACTGGAACGCAAATTATTCCTCCCCACGTCAGAAGTGGTTTATAATGATGATGATGATGACTCGTATCAATGTCGATCAATAGCATCACGTTTAAAGTTTTTTGATCTCTTATAGATCGACCTCTCAGCCGAACGACTAGCTAAATACCTGGCGTGAGCGTCACACAAAGAAAAAAATACCCTAGCTCCATCGACGATTCGATGGATCTCAGTAAAACTTGCATTCTTGACCCAAACGACGCAATCCATGACATTCATTTAGAATCTCCAAAACCCCAGAGTAGCTTTCTTTTGCGTGTCTGCAGTTTGGTACAACATGCAGCCTTGTGCAGTTCTTCTTCTTCTTCTTCTTCACTTCCTCTTTTACCGCTGTGGGTGTCGAGGGAGATATAAGGTTCTGTTTCTAGCTCTTCTGGCTGCCTCGACCATAGGCACATCGTGCTGTTGTAGAGTTTCTCTGATGTTATCCTTCCATCTTGTTCTTGGTCTACCCCGTGCTCTACGTCCTTCTTCTCTTTCCATGTATGCTTTGTATGGTATGGTATCACAAGGCATTCTCTCTAAGTGGGCAAACCATTTCACTTGCTGTCTTTGTATGTAATCCAGAATTGGTTCTGTGCTGACTTGTTCTCTTATGATCTCATTCCTGATTTTATCTCTTATGGTCACTCCTACAGCCCTTCTCAGACATCTCATTTCCGTGGTTACTAATTTTCTTTTATGGTTTGTTGTGAGTGACCATGTCTGGCACTGGTAGCACAGAGTTGGAATAAATATGCTTTGAATAAGATGTCTCTTTGTGCTGATTGGGATTGTCTTATGCTGTAAGAGGGGGGCTAGCTGTCCCAATACTTGGTTTGCTTTACTGCATCTAATGTCAATTTCTTTATCCAATTTCCCATCTTCGGTAAATGTAGTTCCCAGATATTTAAACTCAGATGCCTGTTTAATGTCTTTGTATTCTATTGCTATGTTTAGATCTGTCTTCTTTTTTTCCTATTGACATTACTTCTGTCTTTTCAGTGTTGATTCTCATATTATTTGTTTTACATTCTTCATTCATGGATGTTAAATGTTGTTGCAATTTCATGGGTGTATCTGCTATCAAGGCCTGGTCATCTGCAAAGAGTAATTCGTCGATCTTACTAAGATCTTCATTTATGGGCTTGGCATTCTTGCATATACTGTCGATGTAGGTGATAAACAGCAGTGGTGATAAGACACACCCCTGTCTTACTCCAGATTTCACTGTGAAAGGATGAGATGTTCCCTGATTTATTCTAACTACACTTCTACAATCTCTGTATAAACTTTTGCACACTTCGATGAGGTGTTAGCTTACTCCATATCTTGCCATTATTTTCCATAGTAATTGTCTGTCGACTCTGTCAAATGCCTTCTCCTGGTCTACGAATGCCACAAATAAGTTCTTATTGTATTCAATGTTCTTTTCTATTAACTGTTTAAGTGTGAAGATTGCATCTGTGCAGCTTCTATTTCTCCTAAATCCCATCTGTTCTTCTGCCAGCTGTGGTTCTATCACTGGTCTCAGTCTTGTTTCTATTATCTTGGCATACATTTTGCCAACATGGCTTAAAAGAGAGATGCCTCGATATTGACCGCATTCTCGTTTGCTTCCTTTGTTCTTCCACAATGGTATAACTATTGCATGTTGCCAATCAATAGGGGCCGTTTGTTGTACCCATGCTGCATTGAATATTCTGTGAAGCCATCTGATGCTGCTTTCATCTGCTGCTTGAATTATTTCTGTTGGTAATCTATCAGCTCCTGGTGCTTTATATTTAGGAGACTGTTTAATGACTTTTTCTATTTCATCCATTAGTATGTGTGGTTCTAACACTGTTGCTCTGTGCTCTTCAGTTGTTCTTTCCTGATGATCTCCTAGAGGATTAAAGAGCTCAAGTCAATCTGGCTCTTGGTGGAGATATCATTCCATTTTTACCAAGTGTAAAGTTGTGAATCTCTATGGTCAAAGAATGTGTTCGTAATAAAAAGATTGTGTCAAATATTCTTTGACCATTTCCATTTCTAGCACTGTTCTTAGCTGCATATGGACCTAAAAACTGTTCGTATTCTCTTCTGTTATTTCCTACCCTCCCGTTGAAGTCACCCATTACATATAGTATGCTGCTTCCCTCAACTTTCTTTATCTCATCAGACAGATCGTCAAAGAATTCATCTTTCTGCTCTTCTGTATAATTATCATTGCATGGTGCATATATCTGTATATATGTTTCAGCTTGTTCTCCTCTTTTAATTTTCAAAGTAATAATTCTATCTGAGTGATAATGTATGTCTAATATGTAGTTAGATATATCCGGATGTACCAGGAAACCCACTCCATTCTTTGATGTTTCTCCTCCTGCATATGTTAGTAAGTAGCCTCTGTGTATTTTCTTATTAATATTTCCCTTGCGTCTTATGTCAGCTAGCCCCATTAACTTGATTTTCCTTTTTTCCATCATTTCAATAATCTCTTCTGTTTTATTTCCCAGGCCAGCGGTGTTAAGTGTTGCAATCTTGTATTTCGCTGTTCTGTCTCGTAGTCCCTTAACATTGCCATGGTCAGATACCGTTTGATCAGTCCGTTTATATCTCATTTTGATTTTTGTAGCGGTAAAAAATCCATTGCAGTTAACGACATGATATCAGGGGATTGGTCTTCTCCCTGTAAGACATCTTTTTACATACTTGAATATTGGGTACAAGCTGCAGAGAAGCACCCCTACCCCCCCCCCCCCCCCCCCAACCAAAGCACTTAAGTGGGAAACAAATGGAGTGAGGCGACGAGGATGCACAAGAGAATTGATTTTAAGGATAGAACGCGACAGAAGAATAGAATGTGAGCTCTGTGTGACATATGTACGGTCAAATAAATAGAATGACGACAGTGATAAAGAAAAACGCCACAGTTTTAAAGCTTTCAGCTTTCATTTTTATTGCACTGGAAAGATGTCATGTAAGCAAAGCAAAGTGTAGAAAATGCTTCATTTATAGTAAAATTAACTGACTGTGCATTTTAAGCAAACAGTAAATAAAAATATTTTTTTGTAACAAAATATGTGTACAATTGATTACAATATATGAGTAGCGGTCGAAAATGTGACACACATCTAGAGCACTGAATCATCTTGCAATGTCCATTTATATCTGGCCAAAGATGGAGGGGAAGATGGCTTAGATGTTTCACTTCAGCCTCCCACTCAGGGAACGGTGTGCATGCTAAACCATTCACTGGCATTCAGAAATGTGAACCAGTCGGCTAACTATTCGGCCGTCCAGCTTACATTTCCGAATTAGATAACCGACCCCAAAGTATTTTTAGTTCATGTGATCTGATTTATACACATATGTATTTTTACACAGTCTTACGGAGTTCTTGAACTGAGCTGAGATATTCTCACTGAAAGAGACTGCTGCACTTAGAGGGATATTCTCGTACACTGAAAGTGATTTTTTCTAAACCAGACCCAAAAAAAAACTGACTTTTGACCAATTTGGTTATTTCAACAGATGGGCTCAAATCCACAATAATTGAACTAACTGAAACATTTCTTGGAGATGCATCATAGATAAGTTAATTATTCATATGCATATCAGCACAAGGAGCATAGTGTGTCATGAATTCTAAAACTGGTTTCTATTGTGCTGTACAGCACCAGAAAGTGGGGCCTAATTTATATTTACATAAATTAATATAATTAAATGTGAGCCAAAAAGCTTGGCGAAAGGGAGAAGGGGAACAACGAGCACAAACGACACATTTACGTTTCTGCTGAGGCCTTTCTCGATATGAACCACGCAACAAGAACAACATAGGGTGAAGTTATATTTAGTCACATTAATTACTGGAACAAAAATTACCAGTATTTCTGGTGCATATTTTTCCCCTGCAGTTTTAAAGTTATGTGGTCACCCTTTTCAAAATTAAATAAAATTATAACAAACTAATATTAAATTGATGTTATTCATTACCCTAAATTATAAAAAAGAGTTGGTGCAATCATGATGAGTTTGGCCAAACAAATGCCATACTGTACTTCCAAGGTAACACTTCAAAACAAAGGTTGCAGCATCACTTGGGTAGGAATCATTTTTTTAAATGCCTCACGGTTGCTTGTTTCAATACTTGCTTCATGCTTTCAACAACTGCAAATAGATTGAAGAGGGAACTGTTTGTTGAAGCGATTAAACAATGCAATCTCGCAGGGAAACAACTCAGTAGTTTAAATGAAATAGGTAACTGTTTCGCAAAACCTATTACATTCACCACTTTACACTGGATTCATAGACTTTAAACAGCAAGGATAGGGAATCTGTCTGGAAATTGGTGGGGGCGCTACGGTATCCTACAGAAAATTATTTATTTACTGAAACAACGCTACTACTGTATGGAGAGAAAACATGTAGAACAAATAAAACAGTTACTAATACACTACTAACATTCATTAACTGGTACCTTTATGGAATAGAATGAATTAAAGAGTATGATCGGATAACTCATTCTGAGCTTTGGGAGAAGAACTAAACAAGTCCTACTGGACCAAGAGGCGAAGAAAAGACGCTGGCGTTAAATAGAACGCACGTTGAGAAAATCTGACAACAATATAACTAGAATATCGTTGTACTGAAACTCCGAGGGAGATAGAAAAAGAGGTAGACGAACAAACAAAAAACAACAACACACACACACACACAGAGGGAGTAAGGAGCTTGACAGTGAAAAGGGGAAGGACATGGGGGTGAGCTGCATGCAATTGCAAAGGATATAACGACTTGGCGTGAATTGGTTGAGGGTCTGTGATACACTAGGGAATAGAAGGCAAAGAAGATTACATTATCATCACCATCATGTAACACGTCACACCCAGAAACCACTTGGTCCCATGACAACATTTCTAGTCACATTTATAACCTAAAGCTCCTCCTTCGGGGATGCTGACTGAACGTGACGATTTTTTCTCCCTCAAAAACTGATGATGATGATCCTAGTAGTGCAATGCGTGCATGTACGCTTACTGAGACTCCACCTACCAGCCCTGCACATGGGAAATTATTGGGAAAAGGCTCAAGAGATTTAGGATTTGTTTAGTTGCGGAATAATAATCACCATAACAATAAATATTATTGTTACTATTATGTGCTTATGGCAAATTTGTTGTTGTTGAAATAAAATGTAATGCGTGAACAAATGCTTGAGAAGACAACGTCTAAAGAGATTTTTGGGGAGAGGGGGAGACTCGGTACCACTGTCGAAACCAACACAGGATGGTCCGCTGTGAAGCCATTTCCTTAGGAAAATCTGCCTGAGGATCTTACTTGTTACTGGTAGTAGTTATCGGTTTCATAATCTCCTTTCTTTGTTAGTTTGATGAATGTACCATTTTCCCCATTTCGATTTAAATGTCTTTATTGTTCTTGAAAAACAGAAGCTTTGTTGCAACTGCTCCGTTACCCCCAATTTCAAAATTTCTGGGCGGATTTAATCATATCCAGGCGCTTTGTTAAACTGTTGAGCTTTAAAAGCCTTCTTCTGCTGAACTTCTGAAAATATTTGAAAGCTTATCTCAAGGTCCACCTCGTAGTCTGGACAGTTAAACAATAACAACGCTACAAAGTTTTCTTTCCATCGATCCAGTTTTCCATTCTCTTCTATAATCCATGTCTTCTTTCCGAATGACACTAACTTTTTTGTCAGTTTATGGCTATGTTATACAGTGTTGTGATGTCCTTTGTTTCATGGATTCCTTGCTTCTGTTGATAGGTTGTCCAAATAGTAACGTTTATATGTTCTTCATGCCTTAGTCTCATTATTATTTTACGCATATTCTACAGAAAATACCTCTAAATCTGGGTGACTGTTGTCTATTATTTTTTTTTTTTTTTATTGTGAAGTTTATTTTTGGCATGTTGCGTGGAAAAAACAACTCTTTTTTTTTTTAGATCGCCCATATTCTAACACCCCACCCCCTCCCCTTTCCGCTAATTGTCTGCTGTCATGAAATTTTTCAAATGTTATTTCAGTATCTACGTACAGAATGCATCTGTGATTTAGTTCTATCCTGATCTACTGCTGAATGAAGGCCTCCTGTAGTTTGCTTACATCATACCGCTGCTGCTTTCATTGTGCTAGTTTAGCTTTCATTAACCGTCGTCTGATTTCCTCATTAATAATTATGGCTGCTCATTGTAGCAGCCGATCTACCTGTTGAGATACGATGCAGATAATGTATCCATTTTCTTTTTTTTTTTTAAACAAGAATATGCCTGAAGGCAGTAACCATACAGTAATTATTTAACGATAACGAACTTATAATTCAGCCATAAGCAAATCTCCAGTAGCCAAGGTTACACAGTACAGGGCGAACTGGATGTTCAATTGAACATGTTTAGTCACATGATGTGACTATGCAGGAAAAAAAAACTCCCATAACATAGGTGCAGCAACCCGATAGCCCAGACACATTAACCCCCCCCCCCCCCCCGCCCATTTCGCCACCACTTCCCTTAATTTTCCAGGATCAGAGAGGGGCTTAAGATTTAATTGCGCAATATAAGTAACTATAGAACGAGTATATTTGTATTATTACTGCGCACTTATACAAGGCTGACATCCTTGCAGCCCCCAACCCCCGAGCTAAGAAAAATATTGAGGAAGAAGGGGCTCAAGAGTCTTAAGCTTTGTTTAGTTGCACCAAAAAAAAATTTTTCAATTTTAATTATTATTATTATTATTATTATTATTATTATTATTATTATTATTATTATTATTATTATTATTATTATAACTGGGTAATTACAAATATTTGTGTTTGAAATGAAATGAAATGCATACAATTATGCTTAAAAAGCTTTACAAACAAAGTGTTATAGACAACGTCTATAAAAGATAGGGCAGGGAGACTTTCGGCTTACTCGTGGTACCACAGTCGAAACCAAAGTAGGATGGTTGGCTGTCAAATTGCCTGTGAGTGAGATCAAACTCGGCACACCGGCATTATGAAGCGGGTTCGCACCAACGCCTAATCCATAAACACTGACTAACCACTGGCAGTATCATAGATCTACATGTATGTGAAATCATCCTTATCTGTCCTAACTTGTCTCAAATACTTACAAGAAGATGTGCAAAAGCTCGTCGATTCGAGTGGCACCTATCTGTCTTTCCAGACGACAGTGTTTTATTGCGCCATGGAGAGGCATGAGACTCACAGCCCATAACGTTGACGAGTGGGACTAGCAAGACCCACCCGTTTTAAGAAAAGTCTTCCACAGTTACAGAATGGGATTTCAGGACCACTTTTGTCAACTTCTGTGTTCAATCTATTTCTTCTCAGATGCTCAGTTCTCATCCTTTCTGCAATCATTTCTTCCCTCAGTCGCATTTCCTTCCCGATGTGGCCCCTCCACGCACCACGGTCCACGGAATTTTGTTCCCACGAGTCCATCTCAATGCCTATATCATACATGTCCCGCGCTACCCGTCATAATTCACCACAGATGAAGTCCTTAAGGAATTTGTCATCCTCCATTCTCCAGGTGTGACCCAGGCACTTGAGCCTTTGCAAACTGAGCATTGAGAAGACGTGTAATGCCTGCTCTTTCCAAAATCTCCGCTACCTCCAAAAGCTCCTGACAAGTATCAAAATCTACAAGTACAAAAGAGGCCAACTTACTTGAAGCAGTCTCCGGGTAGTAATACTTGTACTGTTTGTTGCCCTGCTGGTTGTACACGTGACTCAGCACATTGCCTTCTGGGTCTGTGAACAAATCAGCAACAGTCTCAATGTTCATGTCATTGGAAAGATAAATTACTACAGTCAGGAAATGCGGTAAAACAACAACTTAAGTTAGTTTTAAAAAAAAGTAAAGGTCCCTTTTCCACGCCTTTAGGCGTATAGGGCATATAAGGATAGACCTATATTTTTAAAGACCAATCGGCACAAGATGGGTGCTGTGGTCAGCATCACATCGACCGCCTTTACTTCCCGTGACTGCAACCGGTACCCATTCAAGACTGGGTCGACCTGGGAGTCAAGGACATTTGTGAAAAAAGTCTGGCCCTGCCAGAGAGCGAACCCATGACCTTCCGATCCGCACGTGAGCGTCTAGCCGCTACACCACAGCGATTCACTAACAACTAATGTAGCCGACACATGTTCATGCAATCAGCGTACCGGACAAATGATGCTAGTTCAATATTTGTAGACCAATCGACACATGTTGAGTCACACCATATAGTTAATACCACATCAGTTGCCTTCATTTTTTTTTTATACATAATTTCCAGATACGCATTTTAAGTAGGATTAAAATGAACCCTCATGGAATTAAACGCTGGCAACTCGTAACTCATTGTCCTCAGACTGGAGGGTGAGCGTGTTTAGCTTCATTTGGCAATCAGGCAAACGCAGCTCCAACTCTATAGAAAACGGGTCATCTCTTAGTTGATCCGTTCCTGTGTCACAGAAAATGACAAAAAATGCTCGTCCCTGTCCCCTGACACAGACTGCAATCTCGGCCAATATAGCAGCATTAACTACACAAAGCGTCCGTCAGAAGTGCCAACACAAATAGTCGACACCAGAAATGCAGACGTAGCTGCATACGCAATTGCTCAAAGCACCACTAGTTCTCTGGCCAACAGGTCTCTCTCCACTTTCTAAATCTGCATTTAAAAGTTCACAACACAGAACACTTTGAACGCAGTTGAAAAGCATTCAAAATGAAATCCGCAGCTCACAGTGTGACCTCATGCAATCAGCACTCAGTAGCAGGGTGACGGGACTATAGCATTTCAGTCTAAATATGGAGGAAAATGCAGCAGCTAAAAATAATCAGAAGCAAAAATTTGTCATGACTACAACTCTAAAGCTGCTTATCAGTCATACTGACCAGATACTTGTATAGCAGTATGAACTATATAACAGCAAGGCAGGCTGACATTTTTCATAGAACCCCGACAACAAGGTCTACACTATTGGCCTCACACATAAATCTTGAGAGACTGCAGCTTAGTTTACTTGTTTACAACATGTTGGCTCGGGGTTTAAACCGCCAGAATGACTTGCATAATTCTTTTTGAGGCACTCGGTTATCGTCTCTCGACAATGATGAACATAAATCCGCAGAGAAAACATTACCAAATCAAGACGTCCTCCGTACCAGTCGGTATGGGTTAAACCATGTTATGATTGCAGATCCTTTGTTATAGTCAGTATCTCTACAGATGTGAAGTTCCAGTATCTGTTTCTGAGTCTGAAAAGGGGAAGGAAAGCCACCGACTGATCGAAAGAGACGCTAGATACCCTCCAGAAGGTGTTCACTGTCTGCGCGCTGTTTTTGTGGCCTAAAAAGTGACACCGCGACTTATTCTCTGCCGCTTTTGACAAGAGTTATACTTCGCCCTCAGCTCTGTGACGCTGCAAGTGGCTCAAATTCTACCCATCCATCCATCCATCCTTACGTTATGGCAACGGGGATCTAATGGATCGTTTATTTAGCGCGCGCGCGCACACACACACACACACACACAATCTGCACCACTGTTGTTTGCATCGGCGACCAGGTCACCCATAGGCTCGCTGGTAGACGACTTCGTCGCCGGTCGGGACGGTAGTTGGATCTCCCTTGATCGCATCAACACACTGCAGGAGTCATTTTCAGCGCTTTTGGCGGCGTGCAAATTAAAGCTATATTATATGGCGCACATAACCTAGTCACAATTATAACCTAAAGCTCTGCCTTTCAGGATGCTGGTTGAATGTGACGATTTTTTTGGGGGTTTTTCTTGAGAACTGATGATGATGATGATCCTAATAGTGCAATGCGTGCCTGTACGCTTACTGCGACTCCCACACCCCTTTCCCTAACCCAGGCTCATGTTTACTTTTAAACAACTGCTTTGTTTAATTCAAATAATAGTAATAAAGCCACTGAGACCGGTTTTTATTTGATCACCCTTCGTATGTCATGTCACAAATCTGACAAAGGGGTATGTTCAGAAACACTATGCCTCTCTCGAGCCTTCATAACAAACTAAGCAAATCTATATTTATATATTTATAAAATCTCTCTCTCTCTCTCTTTATATATATATATATATATATATATATATATATATATATATATATATATATATATATATATATATGTGTGTGTGTGTGTGTGTGTGTGTGTATATACTCACTCTCTCTCTCTCTAAAACACACACACATATGAACTGAGTTCATTTTTTGTTTGTTTTATCAATAGCATCAGGGACCCAATTCACACAGTCTTTATATTTTTTATAATAACCTATACTCGATAGGAGATGTCGTCATGCCCTTGCCTTTACCTCCTAGAACAGTTCCTGGCACCCATTTTACACTTGGTTATATACTGGTGTATGCACTTTGTGTCTACAGCCACTGGCAAATCCCCACTCACAATAGACACAACTAAATGGAATTAACAAACCACATACCCAAAAAGAGAATTCTAGGAATGTAAGATCCGTCAGGACTCAGTTCAGAACTCCGAGGAACTTCATCATCCTAGAACCGACAATGGTGATAAATTATAGTTATATGTCACTCATTGAAAAAAAAAATTTTTTTTAAGTAAATTGCAATCATTGTAGAGAAATAAATACCCGAAGGTCACATGTACAGCAAATACTGGAACAATAATACTGCTTCTGACATACACAAAGATCTGTGAGTGTAATCGTGACGTCCTTTTTATGATGCAATTTTTCGTTGTTTAAAGCACTACTCTGGCTCATACCAGGGGTCGCAATCAAGCCCAGCGGTTTTTGGGACCTCTCTACGGTGATCCTCATCCACATGGTGGTACTTTGTGTGATCGGGTGTTTATCGCTTGTGTTATGTCCTGGTGGGGTAGAAAGTCAGTCAGTCAGTCAAGACCTGTGACATATTAAATATTGCGTTCCAATGTAGGACGCAATTTTGGTATTGTTTTAAAGCCCCACCCTGACTGCTACCGGGGGCCCTAATATAACCCAACTTGCGGATCAAACTGTTACCGATCCCAGGGTGATCCTCAACCGAAAAGTGGCACTTTGTGTCACCGGGTGTTTATCACTCTTGGTGGGATTAAACGTCAATCAGACAAGATCATTACATCACATAACTCTTGACCCGTTAGGGTCGTGGAGGTTTATTGATGGAAGAACTAGCACATAAAACCCGCCATCTTTCTGTCTTCTGCTTGATGAATAAGCGTGTGATAACTTAGTCCTGCCTATTTTTTGATGTTGTCATTTCAGTTTCTTCTTTGGCCTCCTCTTTTTCTGCTAAAGGAAATCTAATAAGAATGTTTGTTACCTGACATTATGCTAACAGCGTTAAACCTACTTAATACAACTGATGAGGCTTCAACCTTCGGCAGCAGATGAAAAAGAAGGCAGAGAAGGGGGAGGAGGAGGAGAATAAGAAGATTACCACTTACTTCAACGCTGATCATTATGAAATCATTTGCCAGCAGTTCAATCTCTCGATTGTTGGCGAACCTTGGCCTCAGAGCTGCAACCGTATCAGAAGTTAATTAGCGTCATTGCAGTTTGTCAGACTTTCAGTACTCATAACCTCAGAAATCTTGTATATCTTCACAGTAACATTTACTTTATTTTTCTAGTCAACTTTACCTCTGAAAATTTTCAATCTTCCAATAACTCCATCTCTCTTTGATAAAGTTCCAAGCATCTTTCTCTAAAAAGTTTAAAGCCCTCCAGTAATCTTTACCTGAAAAGTTTAAAGCCCTCCAGTAATCTTTACCTGAAAAGTTTAAAGCCGTCTAGTAATCTTTACCTGAAAAGTTTAAAGCCGTCCAGTAATCTTTACCTGAAAAGTTTATAGCCTTCCAGTAATCTTTACCGGAAAAGTTGATCAACCTTCGAGTAATGATTACCTCAGAATTGTCTTTGAGTTACATATTAAGCTTGACTTCAGAGGTTTTTCAATAGTCCAAAGCAAAGCACCTTGGCTCCCAGGTAGACCCAGCCTTGAGTGGGTACCGGGTGCAGTCCCGAGAAAGTGAAGGCGGCCGGCGTGATACTGACCACACCACCCATCTTGTGCCGATTGGTCTATAAAAATATAGGTTTAGCTCTATATACCTTAAGGAGTGGAAAAGGGTCCTTTACTTTTTTTTTTTTTTTTTACCAAAGCAAAGCAGAAACATAACTAAAGTGCGTGAAACAATGGCAGGTATTAACAATGATGGACGGATCAGATGGCAAACTGCTCGGAGACCAAAGAGTGGCCACATACAAATTAATGTTATAGATAATTTACGTGTTTTTTTTTTTTTTTTAAAGTCCCGTGAGTCATCAATAGAGTTCGTTTCCATGACACTATGCACACGTCCAAGTGTCTTCATATTTTCCCTCATCATATCCATCACCATCCCTCGGTTAACAGTGCCAATCATATGCTGGCTGAACAAACATTCTCGGATACCTTGTGTGCCTCTCGTGCCTGGCTTCGTTATAGGGTTAGTGTCACGACACCCGTTGTTACTTTCCAGAACTTTTCCCGGTACCCATGTTGGGCTGGATAGAACCCTGGAACCCTGGTTTTAAAAATCAACATAGATGAGGATTTGAATCTATGCCAAAGGCACCTGCAGGCAAGCGCGTTAATCTTTGCGCGACCCCTCTGCCCCATGTTCTTTCACTTATGAGGATTGTAAACAATTATTTATAATCTCAGAGAACTACAACTGTTGTACCTTTGCATGCTCGACACCACGGTTTGTGGAACACAATCATGGCTGGTCTCTTTCTGCAGATTCAAAGATATGGTTAAGTTTATTTATATTATATTAGACAAGAGCAAAAACTGTTCCTAGACTACATTAACACCCCCCCCCCCTTTTCCCAACTCAACTGTGAGGATGATTCCACTCATGGGTGGGGGGGGGGGGGGTTAAATGTTTTTTTTAAACTGCCTAATAATAGTTAGGTCAAGCCATTTTCTTCGCGCTCTGAAAGTCGTGGGCTCGTTTTACGGCTGCGCTCTTTAATTCACGAGTGCAATTTTTACGGAGATCGCTGGGGATCAACTCTGGAGCTACGGCTTTCGTGCTCTGCGCGGCGCTCTCGGCAGGCGCCTATCTGTTCTATTGAGAGAAACCGAGGAATATGAGATAAAACCTGGTAAAATGAAATCGATCTTCTTCAGACTTTAACCTGTTAACCCTTTTTAAGATTTTGGAACTGACCGCGAAATAGAAACCAGGTGTCAAAAAGTAAGTGCACTTATATACAAACTGACAAGATTATTATCAAATCATAACTATTAGTGCAAAGAAACAGACTATAAAGATTAAATTCATGCTAACAATGAGCTACCAGGGCCAAATATGGACATTTTATATAGCCCGTATAAGCAAAATGACCACTTCAAAGATAAGATGCCCGAGAAAAGCCGCCGGCTTAACTAACCATCTTGTACTAGATTCGTCAGGAAACAACAGACCAAACAGTATGGACATCTAGTTATAATGCAGCAAAATCAAATACCACCACAGGCACAACATCTCTGAAAATCAACTATAAGAGCAAGAGGATGGCCAAGAAAAATGGACAACAGCATTACAGACACTTTACGTCTTCACGGCTTAACAATAGCCTGGATCATAAATTGTTGCTGCATACACAGCTTTAAGACACCACTTGGTTATGATGACGACCATGATGCATAGAAGTTGTAATAATAATAATAACGTGTTGAATGTAAATAAATATAACAGTAAATTTGAAATGATAGATAATTTTTTTTTAATACTTAAGAAGAGACCTTCTATGCATGGTTAAGAGGGCCGTTTAATCCCTGAGACATTTTCTAGAAGGACTGCACAAGAGTTTACACTTTGTTTTTGGGTGGTCGGATTGGGGGGGGGGGGGGGGGTAAAAGTTTTAAGCCGTCAGTCTCCAATGACCCTGCAGCCAATAGTTTTTAGTTTATTTCGCTAATACCTGACCTCATTAAAAGCATCACTGCATTGTTTTGCTCACAACTGCAGGTTATCTTCTGCTGGTGCAGTCGTTACATTTATAACTTTTCTGGAGATTGAACAGGTTATCTGAGACTTGTGCTGTTCGTCTGTCATTTAGACAGATTTTGTTATCTTGGGGTTTCAAACCATCTAGCAGCTAGAATGGGAAAAACGGAACGGAATGGAACTAAATTTGGAACTTTTCACGATCTGCTGGCAAATATCTACAAATTTATACGTTTTTTGCAATGTATTTCGCTTTAAATTATTTTAATTCTTGATTGTGAAAAACTGAGGGTAGTCAGTCCAGCATTAAAACTGAACTTTCATATTATCAGTAGAATAAATAGTTCTATAAAAACCCAACAGACTAGACGTTTAAAAAAAAAAAACCAGAATAACTAGAACAGACATCTCTAGTACGATTAGCAGACCCTGAGCTCTCTTTCAATAAATATCTATCGTATCATAAGCAAAACACTCGTCTCTTATACAATCATAGCAATGTGCATCTCTCATATAATCCAAGGAACATACATCTCACATAAATCAAAAGAACAGACATTGTTCATACAAGAAAAAGACCACAGTTAAAATAAAAGAAGAGCTGATAATTCTGATGCAACAGAACTTACTGCTCTCTAGCCATTCGTTGGCCTTCCTTTAGTGATACCCAGTGGATGTTCTTCGTCCAGCCTGCAACACGTTGATAAATATTCTAGACATGTGACCTGAAGTAACACAATATACGGCTAACAGAAGACCCGGCAGCCAGGCACCAAAACGGCCCAGACAACCGTTGATCCGTTGAATGAATACGAATAAACACTAAACACGGTTCAGACAATACAACGCGATCTCCAACATCTATCAGTTCGTGTGTTGGTTCCCTCTCCTTTCATGACAAAAATCTGTCAATAATTGTCTTTCCCTGTCTTCATTTATCCATAAATTTTTCAAGTTGTCACTTGTTCCAAGAATGCTCATTTCTTATAATGCTACCCAAAATTACGACTCTTTCTGTTTGTGTTTTGGATTTTACAATAGCCATTGAAATAGTCACTTCAAATGCATATGCATACAAAAATATATCTCCAAAACATAATTATTTAAGACGATATTGCTTAACAAGGATCAGATGTATTTCTGATAGTGTAAAGCAGGGCAGGATTAATTGTTCCGGATTGACAATTTATAGTTGAAGAATTTTAAAGTAAGGGAGAGCAACGTGTTAAACCATTGCTAAACTTCAGAAAGAAAAACACCCATGGATCCTCAGAGCGACCTTCCTAAGACACACACACACTTTTCCCCCTCCAGGTTGCTGCCAGAAGGTTTAACACCCCTCCCTACAAATCGAAGATCTTCATCCTTAATGTCAAATCCCAGATAACTCAAACCACCTTCAGAGAAGCTGAAACAAGAACATCCGTTACAGCTTCAACTACTACATAAAACTCCATCGTCCCCTTTGTGGGATGCTATTTGTCCTTTTTTTTAAAGCCCCACTCTTGCTGTTGTCAGGGGCCGCATTATAGCCTAATGGCTGAACGCGGTTTCCGGGACATCTTCACGGGTGATCCTCATCCGCATGATGGCACTTTGTGCCACCGGGTGTGATGTCCTGGTGGGGTTAAATTTACTTACTTACTAGGTACTACTATCCATGTGTACCACACTGTTGTACAAGAGCGAGGATGTTGTGGCCTGTGATAATAAGAAAACTTTAAACACGACAGAACTTGTGAACAGGATATAGTCGCCTACCATTCTTAATATCACCGAGGCAAAACGTTTGTTTAAATTTAGCAGCCTAGATCATTGCCGTGTGGCTTGGGCGTTGCGAACGCACTTCCTAATTTTGTAATGTAGGGTTCTATTTTAGCTGTGGGCGAATTGGCAGCAGACCGCCTTGTGTGTTGGTTTCGACAGTGGTATTAAAGCCAACCATTCCAAAATATGTGGCAAACTCTTCTTCTTCTTCTTTTCCCTACTACCTCCTGGAATGCCTCGCGGCGTCAGGGCATTAAGAAATCCCTGGAACGGACCCTTCTGTTCTTTTCCTATATGTAAAGTACTTTTCAGTGTCTCTAACATTTCTGCGATCTAAATTGTGTATGGTCGATCTCTGAACGGTTATCGCTGTATCTGTATAACATTGCTCTCAGTGTCACCCTGTCTGGTGCCTATCTTGTTACATGGCCAAATCATTTGATTTGTTGTCCATCTATAACGTGCAGTATTGGTTCGGTGCCGATTCTCCTCATGATATCATCGCTCCTAAGTCGATCTTTTCTCGTAACACATACCATAGTACGTAATTTCTGTCATGACTATGTTCTTCGGTGAATGCGAAGAAGAAGAAGAAGAAGAAGAAGAAGAAGAAGAAGAAGAAGAAGAAGAAGAAGAAGAAGAAGAAGAAGAAGAAGAAGAAGAAGAAGAAGAAGAAGAAGAAGAAGAAGAAGAAGAAGAAGAAGAAGAAGAAGAAAAAGAAGAAGAAGAAGAAGAAGAAGAAGAAGAAGAAGAAGAAGAAGAAGAAGAAGAAGAAGAAGAAGATTATGATGATGATGATAAAGACTATCTCGTTAGATAACAAGCTACTTACCTTGCGTTTGTTAATTTTAATTGACATGATTTACGTTCCCAAACTTCTTATGACAAATTCAGTTGTTACACTAATTCTTCTGTTATTGCTGCTAATCTTTCTGTTCCTTTGTATGATTGCCGAAACTTCTTCTGTTCCACAGTGTCGTAGCTATAACGTAAGGAAAGATATAAAACCGAACGAAAAGTATATAAGTTCCATGTGGTTGTTACCTCCTGTTCCACTGTGTTGTTGCTGTAACTCCTGTTCCATGGTCTTATTGCTGCAACTACTGTTCCATAGTCTTATTACTCCAACTCCTTCTGCCCCAAGGTGTTATTGGTGTAACTTTTTCTGTTAGATGGTGTTATTGTAACTCCTTCTGTCCAATAGAATTATTGCTGTAACTCCTTCTGTTCCATGGTATCATTGCTGCAAATCCTTATGTTTCATGGTGTTACTCCTGCTCTAGGTACCACAAACAACCAAAAATGGCTGGGTTTGGTTCTACAACGTTCTTCAAAGGACACCCAGCTAACAGCCTCATTTGAGACAAGGCAAAAACTATTAGATAATTCAAATGTTACTACCAGGCAAATAGATCAGAGCCCAAATACTGTTCAGTAATTTTAAAAGTATTGAAAAATACCAAATGGCAATAATTACCTTTGACATGGTCCGCTGCAGCTGATATCGTGCCAAATATGGCAGAGGTGGCAAGCGAAAATAGTGATGATGCCATGGTCGATTATCTTGCTTGCACTGTGTTAGTCGACCAAAGATTCCCCTTGGACAACGGTGACCTTTTCCAGATGGGATAGTGCTCCCACTACGCTTAGATAAACTCAAATTGTCCAGTACCTCGCTGAGCAGTGAATGCAAAATGTTATTTTACTGCTTTAGCGCATTAGTGGTGCTTGGTCCTGGTGCATGTTGTATGCTTTCTGACGCAATTCTTGTTCATTGTTGCCAAGTCCAAAACGTCACAGCTAGTAATGTTGACATACGATGCAGCCTTTCTTTGAGATTAGTTACAACTGTAGAAATAAACGAGTGTTGATGACGCTAATCAGAGGTAAAATCAAGAATGCTGAAAGAATGTTGAATTAACATTCGACATCACAGCAGTCGGACCCCACCACCCCCAACCGCTCCGTCCCTATCTTCAGCGGCAAGTGAAGACTTTCAATTCTGACGGCACCAGTAACTGACTGAGTGTATATCTGTCTCACCTAGATATCGCATACACACCAGTGGTGTCTGGATTCTTTGATCTGCTGTCTTTGTGTGTAATTTAGACCTGGTACTGTTTGTCTACTATGACCTAATTCCCGCTAGATGTTGTGAAGGCCCTTTGGGAGCGAGTGAACAGTGCGGAGGCACAAATAGATAATAACGGTCTGAGCAGAATGGTGCTGCGAAGAGTTACCACGGGATGTGGCCGACACCCAACACTCAAGTGAAAGGTGAGACAGATTTGATTTGATTTGATTTGATTCAAGAACCGACATCACAGCACTCGGGGCATTCCCATAAGCGCTCCGTCCCCATCTTCAGCAGCCAGCGAAGAGTTCCGAAACTAATAGTGCCAGTAGCATTATGATTAAACGTCCGTCTTGCCTTTCCTCTGAGCCTCAAGCATCTGCCAAAACCTCTCGTCACCCCCAACTGCATCCATCTCACCACACTGTGGTGATCAATCTGCTCCTCCGAACTGTACAAGCTCTCCCACAAGGCACTAACCACGTCTGCCTTATCATCCATCAGTATTCCACCAAGTTGTGCAGAGCCAGCCAGTCTGTCCGCCTGTTTATTTCCCAACTCACCGGCATACCTGGTAAAAAAAATCCAGACAATACTCTTCACCCGTGTCTTCCGCAGCGAGGCATGCCACTCTTCTCGAAGCATGCCTGTCCTGATCTTCCTCAGCATGCTTTCTGAGTCATTTACAATCACAGTGTGTATGTGTGTGTGTGTGTGTGTGTGTGTGTGTGTGTGTGTGTGTGTGTGTGTGTCGTGTTCTCTAGCCAGCGGAAAGCCGCAGTGACGGCCTCCACCTCCATTCTTAAGCTGGATGTTGTGGTATCATATGCTAGGCTCTTCTGCACCAAACGTCGACCATTAACTTTTGCTAAGAAACCCCAAGCACTTGTTTTGCTTCTTGAAACTGAACCGTCTGTGTAAATGGTCAAATCTTCTGAACGAGCATTATCTTGGATAATTTGCCGAATTTCCACCTCTGTGGCACCTGCTGGCCAGTCTCTGCATTCCCGGCTCAGTGTGATTATGACTCTACACAAGTCTGACTGTTCAGGTGGCACTTTGACCCACTCCTTTCCTCGCCTAATGTTCTCAAGGATGTAAACCTGTCTGATTGTGTCTTCTGCCTGAGCCATCCATGACTTCCCTCTTATCATTCGCTGACCCTTAAATGCACCCAGAGCTTCGTGCAAAGGGTGGTCTGTGTCTGCAGCTACCCTAAGATATTACTTCACCTGCAGCACCTTGTGCCTACCTGCAACAGTCGGCAAACCAAGGATGTATCGCATACACACCACTGGGGTGTCTCTGGTGCAACCCAGAATGACCTGCATTGCAGCGTTCCGTATGCGCTCTAGTCTGTCCATCTGGCACTTTGAGACGGTAAGCATTCCCAGGCCAAATCATCCACTGACAGGATCAGGTGCTGATAGAGTGTGAAAAGCATTCTCTGCTCTATGTCAATGGCAGCCATAGTCTTAAGTGCACTAAGTCCTTTTTGGCATCTTGTCACAACACTCTCCACATGGTCCTTAAAGGACAGGCTCTGTCAAATGTTATTCCCAGATACTTCAGTTTGCTCTCTCTGTTAATGTTTCTACCATAATGGGACACTAACTTTAATGATCCTGTTGTTCAGAGAAAACCACAAAACGGACACCTTTTCCTGGTGGACGACAGCTCTCATTTCTGTACACGAACCAGTTACTTTGTCCACTGTCGCTTGTAGCTCTCGGGATATTTGTTCCCTTTCTCTCCCCCTCCCCCACCACCTGCCTATATGCAAGTATATCATCCGCAAAAGTCAGTATCCTTCCAACTCCTGGTGCTTCTAGGCTTGCAATCTTGCTCGTATACACGTTAAAGAGCACAGGCGAGATAACGGATCCCTGTGGCAGTCCTAGGGCCAAACTGTATGGTTCTGAGGTCCATAAGCCCAGTCGAAGAGCAACCCGACGTGAATACAATACAGCTGTAATGCAATTCACCATCCATGGACTGATCTTCTCCTTTAGTGCAGTCGTCAAGATGTCGTATCTTACTCTGTTAAGTTTTTAAAAGGAGTAGAAAATTATAGGGAAGAGAAAAAGGTGGTAAGAAACAACAAATAGTTTATGTTAGCTTTACAAAATCGATCACAATAAATAAACAAAGGACGTTGCGGCGATTAGTCTTCATCAGCACATAAAGGACAACACAATACACATACACAAATATGCTCTAACTATGAAGTGACTACATAGGACTCTGATGTATAAAATAAATAATACTAATCTGTGTCCCTGGCGAAAAAACTTCGTACAATAAATTGACGGTCAGCTACTAGCCTATATATCTCCAACGCGCGGGTGGGCAGCAAAAAAAAAAGGGGGCGGAGTAGACGCCAACAGCGTACACTGAGTGTCTAAGGAGGGAGGGGTTGGCCTATAGGGCGTAACCAGGGTTGGGTTGTGGGGATGACATTACTCTATCCGCATGGAATAAAAGTGGCGCCTGTGCTAGCAAACAAATACCAACAGACAGACAGACAGACAGACAGACAGACAGACAGACAGACAGACAGACAGACAGACAGACAGACAGACAGACAGACAGACAGACAGACAGACAGACAGACAGACAGACAGACAGACAGACAGACAGACAGACAGACAGACAGACAGACAGACAGACAGACAGACAGACAGACAGACAGACAGACAGACAGACAGACAGACCAGACAGACAGACAGACAGACAGACAGACAGACAGACAGACAGACAGACAGACAGACAGACAGACAGACAGACAGACAGACAGACAGACAGACAGACAGACAGACAGACAGACAGACAGACAGACAGACAGACAGACAGACAGACAGACAGACAGACAGACAGACAGACAGACAGATAGACAGATAGATAGATAGATAGATAGATAGATAGATAGATAGATAGATAGATAGATAGATAGATAGATAGATAGATAGATAGATAGATAGATAGATAGATAGATAGATAGATAGATAGATAGATAGATAGATAGATAGATAGATAGATAGATAGATAGATAGATAGATAGATAGATAGATAGATAGATAGATAGATAGATAGATAGATAGATAGATAGATAGATAGATAGATAGATAGATAGATAGATAGATAGATAGATAGATAGATAGATAGATAGATAGATAGATAGATAGATAGATAGATAGATAGATAGATAGATAGATAGATAGATAGATAGATAGATAGATAGATAGATAGATAGATAGATAGATAGATAGATAGATAGATAGATAGATAGATAGATAGATAGATAGATAGATAGATAGATAGATAGATAGATAGATAGATAGATAGATAGATAGATAGATAGATAGATAGATAGATAGATAGATAGATAGATAGATAGATAGATAGATAGATAGATAGATAGATAGATAGATAGATAGATAGATAGATAGATAGATAGATAGATAGATAGATAGATAGATAGATAGATAGATAGATAGATAGATAGATAGATAGATAGATAGATAGATAGATAGATAGATAGATAGATAGATAGATAGATAGATAGATAGATAGATAGATAGATAGATAGATAGATAGATAGATAGATAGATAGATAGATAGATAGATAGATAGATAGATAGATAGATAGATAGATAGATAGATAGATAGATAGATAGATAGATAGATAGATAGATAGATAGATAGATAGATAGATAGATAGATAGATAGATAGATAGATAGATAGATAGATAGATAGATAGATAGATAGATAGATAGATAGATAGATAGATAGATAGATAGATAGATAGATAGATAGATAGATAGATAGATAGATAGATAGATAGATCGTGGATAGTGGGGTGAATGGATGAGTGGGTAGTGCAATCGATGGGCGGGTAGACAAATAGAAGAAATGATGGATGGTTATACTCGTGGATGGATGGAAAGTATAATAGATGGATGGATCGGCTGATATATGAAATCAGGTAAAGACAAGGGTTTCAAGACACGATGCTTCTCACTTACTGTCAGCTATGAAATAGAGACAGTAAGGGTGATTGTTAAACAAAGTATCAGTCGAACCGAGCGCAGAACTATTTAACAAACATAATGTAAAGGAGCCATGGGAAAAAAGCTAGGGTGGATGGTGAGGTGAGTGGGCGAGTGGGTGGTGAGATAGATGGGTGGGTAGATGAGTGGATGAGTAAAGGATGGCTATTTTAGTGGATGAATGAAATTGCTAATATATAGAATCGGGTAAAGACAGGGTTCTCTGTTATAAGCATTTTCGAGATTCAGTCCTACCGCCATAGTTTCCTATCTGTTATGGAACAGTTCATAGAGGTCAAAAGCAAAAGTGGCCGCAGACCAACTGCAGACCAATTATGATGGTCCACCAATAATGACTGCATAAGTTGAGGATGCGATACATCATATGAAGAAAGGAAAAGCACCCGGGCCAGACAACATCTCACTGGAAGAAATTGAAGCACTGGGAGATTTTGGAATTGAAATAATAACTAAATTTTTTAATGATATTTATAATAGTGGGTATATTCCAAATGACCTTTCAAAATCCATATTTATAGCTCTACCAAAGAAACCAGGCACTTTAAAATGTGAAGACCATAGCACAATAACTCTTATGAGTCACATGACTAAGATTTTACTGAGAATAATTATGAGAAGTATAAGAAACAAAATTAAACCAGAAATCAGCGATGAACAATGTGGATTTGTAGAAGGAAAAGGTACAAACAATGCCAAATACATCCTAAGGACATTGTCATAAAGAGCTATAGAAGTAAAGACTGATTTGTACTTAATGCTTCATAGACTATACAAAAGCATTTGACTGTGTGAATCATGAGGAAGTAATCAAACTGTTGAAAAATTAAACATTGATGGGAAAGATCTACGAATAATAAAGAATATTACTGGCAGCAACAGTAGCTATAAGAATTAACAACTGGGACGTACGACAAGGATGTGTACTTTCACCTAATTTTTTTTCAATATACAGTGAATATATAATGAGATCTTTAATTGATATGCCCGGAATTGTGGTTGGTGGGCACAATATAAACAATTTACGTTAAGCTGATGACACAGTCTTGATAGCAACAAGTCAGAAAGAACTACAGGAAATGATAGACATTGTGGTGTTAGAAAGTGAAAGAATGGGCCTCAGTTTAAATAATGGGAAGACAGAAGTAATGGTGGTATGAAAGAAATGAATTATTCCTAAATGTGTAATAAAAGTCGATGGTGTTATTTTGGGACAAGCACATAAATTTACGTATCTGGGCACATGAATAACATCAGATGAAAGATGCATAACTGAGATCAGAAATAGAATAGGACAGGCAAAAACTGCATTTTATAAAATGAAGAATATCTTGTGCAATATATCCTTATCATTGAGAGTTAGAAAAAGAATTCTTGCTTGCTACATACATCCAGTTTTAACATACGGCTGTGAATCCTGGACAATCGGTGTGCAGGTCAAACAATTTCTTGAGTCTTCAAAGATGTGGTTTTACAGAAGAATGAATAGAATACCTTGGACAGCCAAAAAGAGCAGCCAAGAGGTTTTGAAAGAAGCGGGAGCCCGAAGACAACTTATCACAGACATCAGAAGGAGACAGTCATCTTTTTTTTCGGCCATGTTATTATGAGAAGAGGGAAAATAGAACATGTTGTGACCACTGGAAAGATCTGTGGAAGGAGGGGTAGAGAAAGACAACGAGAGAAGATTCTTGACAGTCTTGTTGCATGGCATGGAGGTGTGTGGGCACATGAACTGATACATGCTGCAGGAGATCGCAGATTGTGGAGAGGCATGATCGCCCACGCCAGTGGGCAAGGCACCTGGTGATGAAAGGGACGCCACTCTGTGCACAAATCTATTCGGCGTATCCAGCGACAATATTCTTGTGTTCAATAACAAAATAATGTCGCAGTGGTCATAGTCAAGTCAATATGTACGCTGTAGTATCGCTAGCTTCAACAAGCTTCTTCTTCAGCCGCATTCTTCCACGACTGACACCAACGTGTAAATCTCTGATACACGAAACGCGGAATCTGACCAGCAGCAGACGCAATGTCGGAAGTTTGTCCGCAAGCGATTGGGGCAGGGGTAGAAGTAAAAGTAAAAGAGTTTGTTTACACCCGCTGGTTAAATTAACTAGTTTTGCCAGTCGTTCATTTGACCCAGCACAACCAAACGAAGACTTTGTATTTAGACAGGTATATTTTATCAGTTTTGGATTGTAATGTTTGTGTTCGCGAGCAAGAAGCAGCACCAATAAACTCACCATGACTGAAGTTACCTCGCATGCTAAACGTTTCGAAGTGCCCCTTATACTAACCCTGTCCAGCGATGAATTAACCCACCTTATCCCAGCCTTTACTCTAGTTCCTTTTGTCCATTACCATTAGTATTGCCACTTGGACCCCAAACACCCAATCCTGTATCACTCTAAGCTATTACTGTGTAGGAAATGAAGAGTTAAAAAGAACATATCTTGTACCCGAAAGAGTTGAACACTTAGAGGAATAACTAGTTAAAATATGCGGCATATTTATTTTAATAATCATAGATGTGCATATAGTTAACCCTTAATGGGAGGCAGGTGTAGAGCATGGCTATTCCCTACATCCAGTAGAAAACTACATATTTAACTCATGTTTTGTTTTTGACACTGGGCTCTTCCAAATAATTATTATGTCCTGCACAAGACTTAGTTTCACATCCATATATTTAGATATTCATTATGAGCTGCACCTTTACAGAACAGCACAATACAATCGTTAGGTTTGGGATTTTCATTGCCTCCACACTGAGCAGTTTGGTCCCTCATTACGGTACCAGTAGCTCTTATAATGCACTTTGTTTGTTTCCAACGACAAGGTGTTAGTTGCATTGGTTTACACAAAGAGCAGCATGTTCCATGTAGAGCACCAACTCTGAAAAACTGCACTGGTTAATGTTGTTATCTTTTGTCTCTCCAGGAAGGTGTGTCAGTTTTGCACATATACCCATTCAGTCTCAGCATGGGCAGGTTTTACTTTCCACTGATAGATTTGCAAGCCCAGCAGTCTTGAATTTAATGAAGAACTTAAAACTTATTGTCAAATTAGTAGAGTATATCTTTGATGAGGGGCTTAGGACTTGTTTGTCAAAGTAGTAGAGTATATCTTTGATGAGGGGCTTAGGACTTGTTTGTCAAATTAGTAGAGTATATCTTTGATGAGGGGCTTAGGACTTGTTTGTCAAAGTAGTAGAGTATATCTTTGATGAGGGGCTTAGGACTTGTTTGTCAAATTAGTAGAGTATATCTTTGATGAGGGGCTTAGGACTTGTTTGTCAAATTAGTAGAGTATATCTTTGATGAGGGGCTTAGGACTTGTTTGTCAAATTAGTAGAGTATATCTTTGATGAGGGGCTTAGGACTTGTTTGTCAAATTAGTAGAGTATATCTTTGATGAGGGGCTTAGGACTTGTTTGTCAAATTATTAGAGTATATCTTTGATGAGGGGCTTAGGACTTGTTTGTCAAAGTAGTAGAGTATATCTTTGATGAGGGGCTTAGGACTTGTTTGTCAAAGTAGTAGAGTATATCTTTGATGAGGGGCTTAGGACTTGTTTGTCAAAGTAGTAGAGTATATCTTTGATGAGGGGCTTAGGACTTGTTTGTCAAATTAGTAGAGTATATCTTTGATGAGGGGCTTAGGACTTGTTTTGTCAAAGTAGTAGAGTATATCTTTGATGAGGGGCTTAGGACTTGTTTGTCAAAGTAGTAGAGTATATCTTTGATGAGGGGCTTAGGACTTGTTTGTCAAATTAGTAGAGTATATCTTTGATGAGGGGCTTAGGACTTGTTTGTCAAATTAGTAGAGTATATCTTTGATGAGGGGCTTAGGGCTTGTTTGTCAAATTAGTAGAGTATATCTTTGATGAGGGGCTTAGGGCTTGTTTGTCAAAGTAGTAGAGTATATCTTTGATGAGGGGCTTAGGACTTGTTTGTCAAAGTAGTAGAGTATATCTTTGATGAGGGGCTTAGGACTTGTTTGTCAAAGTAGTAGAGTATATCTTTGATGAGGGGCTTAGGACTTGTTTGTCAAATTAGTAGAGTATATCTTTGATGAGGGGCTTAGGACTTGTTTGTCAAATTTAGTAGAGTATATCTTTGATGAGGGGCTTTAGGACTTGTTTGTCAAAGTAGTAGAGTATATCTTTGATGAGGGGCTTAGGACTTGTTTGTCAAATTAGTAGAGTATATCTTTGATGAGGGGCTTAGGACTTGTTTGTCAAATTAGTAGAGTATATCTTTGATGAGGGGCTTAGGGCTTGTTTGTCAAATTAGTAGAGTATATCTTTGATGAGGGGCTTAGGGCTTGTTTGTCAAAGTAGTAGAGTATATCTTTGATGAGGGGCTTAGGGCTTGTTTGTCAAATTAGTAGAGTATATCTTTGATGAGGGGCTTAGGACTTGTTTGTCAAAGTAGTAGAGTATATCTTTGATGAGGGGCTTAGGGCTTGTTTGTCAAATTAGTAGAGTATATCTTTGATGAGGGGCTTAGGACTTGTTTGTCAAATTAGTAGAGTATATCTTTGATGAGGGGCTTAGGACTTGTTTGTCAAAGTAGTAGAGTATATCTTTGATGAGGGGCTTAGGACTTGTTTGTCAAAGTAGTAGAGTATATCTTTGATGAGGGGCTTAGGACTTGTTTGTCAAATTAGTAGAGTATATCTTTGATGAGGGGCTTAGGACTTGTTTGTCAAAGTAGTAGAGTATATATTTCAAATGAAGGATGGTCATATTCAGAAGGATCTTCTATATCAGTGGTTCTCAACCTTCTGAATGCTGCAACCCTTTAATACAGCTCCTCATGTTGTGTTACCCCCAAACATACAATTATTTTCGTTGCTACTTTATAGCTTTATTGAATATGCCTTTTCCGATGGTCTTAGATGACCCCTGTGAAAGGGTCTCAATCCACAGGTTGAGAACTGCTATTCTATATGGTTAACTAAAAAAAAAAAATCCTGTAGGAAGACCAAAGCTATGATATAAGGACATATGCTAACAGGACGTGACAGGTGCCAACATTGACACTTGGGGGAGATTAGCTGCAGACTGATGAATCTTGGGAGAGAAAACCAGTGTCATTATAATAGAATATCAACGTTTTTATGTAGTGTGTGTGGCGGAGACTGTTACTCCTACATGTGACTTTACAGTGATAGCAGACACTGTTCCCAAAACCAGTGCCATAGCTTCAGGGTCCCTCGAGACAGACTGTTGCCTACATGCATTACCATATTATCTTCATATCTTATATTGTTAAGCCTATTTTTATGCATGCTGATTTCCCTCATATCTTTCAATTTCTTCTATTTTCATTATTTAATGGAAAAAAGATCTGGAATTACACACCCATGGAAAAAACTTTTCTTGTTTTACATAATTCATCTACTTCAGTATCAATTTTCATGCAGTTTATTGCTTTAAGTATATGTTTTTGGATTTTTTTAACATTAAGAGGTCTTGTTTTTATAATTTTGGAGATCTGCCATCATTTTGATCATATTATTGTGTCTTATTCTGTTGAATACTTTTGTATAGTTGAGCAAAGTTATAGGTCTGTTTGCTTCTGTCAATCAGTCTTTTAATCATCATAATCATCATCATCATCATCATCATGTAGCAGGTCCTTTGCAGAACATCGCTCTCATCAGTCTGCCCGAAAGAAACTCGGTCTCTCGCCAGTTCTCCCGCCTCATGTACTTTCATATTCGAGGAGTCACTTATATCCTGTGCCCATCTTTGTGTCGGTCGGCCCCTGCCCCTCCTACCTGGTACCATGCCTTCTGCTATAATTTTTTCCAATCCGTCGTGGCGCTTGATATGACAAAATTATTTCAGTTTTCTGTCAAGCAGTCGTCATTGCCGTTTACTATCGAGCCTAGATATTCAAAGTTTGTGACATTTTCAATTTCTGTATTATTTATTTTTATTTTTGGGTGACAGCCAGTTTTATCTGTGGACATTATTAATTTAAGTAAATGCGCAGCATTGATTTTACCATTGCTTTACACAAACTGACATAACATGGGTTGGTATTTCAATTTCTCATTCACAGTTGCTAGAATATAAATCATACACATACACTTACCTTCTAGCGGATGCAGCAACCCATGAGGCCATTTTGATTGATCCAGTTTTTGAGACAGCGGAGAGGGACATGAAAATTATTTTTGAGTTGGGTCTGACACTGATTTACACAGGTAGTTATATATTCCTGTTTAGTTTACAGACTGGGCAGTTTTGTAATTTTCTGACATTATCTGACATACAGCTGAATGAACGAAAAGGAAATATTGTTAGTTCGTGGAAACATACATTTATTCTAAAGTATTGTGGTAAGTCCACACAGGTAAAATATACATTTGTGTCATCATCATCATCATCATCAGCTGTTCGGTGGGCAATTTATACATCACATAGGAATCACAGTCTTCCGATCAAAATGGACGATAGGCACGGTCACTGTGTTTAGTTTTCGCAATCTTTTCTTTTTCTTTTGTTGTTGTTGTTGTGGCTTCTGATAGATGGTGGCCGTTGCAATTTCTTCCATTCATAGACTGAAAGGATACAGTTTTGTCATCCATCTACTGAGTTGAGTGCATAGCACTCTCTTTCCATCAAGCTTGCCAGTTGTTAAAACAGATTTTTAGTCCATTCCATCTCATTACATGTCTTAACAAAAATTATGGCAACTGTCTACGTCTAAATGTTCTAATAAGTTTTACTTTCATCTATCTTGATGAGGACTGTTTTATTTGTTCTTCTATCACTGCATGATATTCTTTGCATTTTTTTCTCCAAAAAAAAAAGAAAAAAAAAACATCCACAAGTAAAGGTTTTTTAGCTTGTCTGCTTATTGTCCATGTCTCACATGCATATAACAACACAGGTTCTACATGACATCAAACACTACCAGATATCTACAGCTTTCCTAATATAAGATCAAATGGAAGCCACAGTATAATATGTTATATTTTAGTTAATTTCATTTCCACCCATTAGTTCCAGTTTCTTTACCTATATATTAAAAGAAACAGGCAGGTGGAAGATGAAGAGATACATATCTAGATTGATTGACCAAATGACATGGGTTAGGCAAGAACATAGTCAGTGATTACTGTGATTTTAAGAGGTGGAAAACCATGTCTACCTGTAGTTATCACCAAACACACAATAAAAGTTATTATATATAAAATAAAAATTAGAATGGAAACCAGCATTTGAATAAGATATTCAGAAAAAAAAATGAAGAATGGAAATTACATGTTCCCAGTGTGGCTTCCAGGTTCTCATTTAAATGGGGTGGTTTGGAGTGGGGTGATGGATAATAAACCCACCGCACTTGAACAAGGATGGTATAAAAGGTGACTAATTAAGGTGTTTGCTGAAATTATACGTGTTGGACTGAAAGCCCAGCTGTCAATCTTAATCCAGTATGCCAACTGCCATTTTAAAAACAAACCCAGAAGAAGAACTACATAAATAAATATAAATATATATATAATTATGTAGGCAGAGGAATGAAACAGATATAACAGTATGTTGAGATGTTGAGATAATATCTCCAGTGATTGATGTTAATGATATAACATTGAGATGAAACATGAAGTATGAGGTGGAAACATGCAGCCTTTGTACCATTCCTGGTATATACCCCAAACAATTTTGAATGGTTGCGGTAATACTTTTGAGAATGAATGTTGGTATATTGTATTTTCAGTGAACACCCATATTCATGCAGACCACATCACAGGCAGCGGTGAGATCAAGAAGTATTTACAAACCTGTAAGAGTGTCATATCAGAAGTCAGTAAAGCCAGAGCAGACGTCAAGCTCAAGGAGGGTGATTTAATCAAGTTTGGCAAATTCAACATTGAAGCCCGAAGCACACCTGGACATACAGATGGTAGTGTTATAAATACTAGATTTAAAAATTGAGATTTTGTTATAGAGAGTCACTTATAAAGTGAGTTGCCTGTTCTTTATATTATGTTGCCGAACCAACCCCCAACGTTTTTTGGCTCTGTTTATTGTAGGCAAATTTTACATTCAGTAGTTTGCCATTGCCTCTGACGGTCAGCTCTCGGTGCCACTGTCAGAACAAACACAAGACAAACTGCCCACAGCTAGGATCAAACCCGGTACAGTGCCATTACAAAGCTTGTTCGCAGCGCTAAAGTCAGAGACGCTGACAGAAGTTAGTTGTGTATCCTTTACAGGATGTTGCAGAACCAACTCCAGCATTTTTTTTTTTGGCCTCTTGTGGTTTTTCTAGGCATATTTTACGTTCAGTAGTTTGCCATTGCTTCCTGAACGGTCAGCTCCTGGTACAAACTGTCAGAACCAACGCAAGACAAACCAACCACAGCTGTGATCAAACCTGGCATCCCAGCATTATGAAGCACATTCAGAACGCTGAAGCCACAGACGCTGACATCACTGATAAGCAGAAGTTAAATTCAAATTTATTACTGGTATTTATATTTTTGTGTATAGTTATCTTCGAGCTTATTCTAGGGCCAATTATAGCCAGGAAGTGTTCTACATTTTGTGTAAAACAAACATGCTTTAATTTTCTAGGTCTAAACTTTAAAAATTATCAAGTAAATACAACATTTAAAAAAAAAACCTGAGGCAGTAGACATGAGACTATTAATAAAAGTAAATGTTACAGAGCTAAAACAAACAAGAGCTTTTAAAATGTCAAGGATACATTTTTCGCTTCTGGTGAAAGAATGGATAAACAGAAATCAGCTAATGACCTCCAAAGGAAAATCAGAGACTAGGACAACAAACACCAATTCTGATACAGAAAGATAAATCAGAAACTAGGACAACAAACACCATTCATGATACAGAAAGATAAATTAGAGACTAAGACATCAAACACCACTTCTGATACAGAAAGATAAATCAGGGACTAGGACAACAAACACAATTTTTAATACAGAAAGATAAATCAGAGACTAGGACAACAAACACCACTTCAGATACAGAAAGATAAATCAGGGACTAGGACAACAAACACCACTTCTGATACAGAAAGATAAATCAGGGACTAGGACAACAAACACCATTTCTGATACAGAAAGATAAATCAGGGACTAGGACAATAAACACCACTTTTGATACAGAAAGATAAATCAGAGACTAGGACAACAAACACCACTTCTGATACAGAAAGATAAATCAGGGACTAGGACAACAAACACCACTTCTGATACAGAAAGATAAATCAGGGACTAGGACAACAAACACCACTTCTGATACAGAAAGATAAATCAGGGACTAGGACAACAATCATCATTTCTGATACAGAAAGATAAATCAGAGACTAGGACAACAAACACCATTTCTGATACAGAAAGATAAATCAGGGACTAGGACAATAAACACCACTTTTGATACAGAAAGATAAATCAGAGACTAGGACAACAAACACCACTACTGCTACAGAAAGATAAATCAGGGACTAGGACAGCAAACACCATTTCTGATACAGAAAGATAAATTAGAGACTAGGACAACAAACACCATTTCTGATACATAAAGATAAATTAGAGACTAGGACAACAAACACCACTTCTGATACAGAAAGATAAATCAGGGACTAGGACAGCAAACACTATTTCTGATACAGAAAGATATATCTTAGACTAGGACAACAAACACCATTTCTGATACAGAAAGATACCTGTGTGTGTCAAAGCAAATCTGATAAGCATTTTTGTTGGCCAGTGTTAAGCTACCAGTGTCTAACATGGATCCTTAGAATAACTAATGAGCTGAAATCAATAACAGATATGAGATGTCTTAGGAGAGCTGCCATAGTAGTAGGAGGAGATAAAATACAAATTGTAGGAAGAATAGAACTGAAACTAGTCATTTATTTTATTTTAAAAATTTAGTTTTGCCATTTGACAAGAATGCTTTTGTGTCAGCTGCCACAGAGCGTCACGGTAGAGAAATAAAATGAGCACAGAGCAAGGGAAAGACCACATAAAAGTTGAGCCCAGAGCAGGGAAAGACCACATAAAAGTTGAGCACAGAGCAAAGAAAAGACCACATAAAAATGGAATGACAGTATCAGGAGCAGCTATAGGGAAATGAAAGCTAACTTGTACGACAAAAAAAAAAAAAAAAAAAGCACAGAAATTCCTTCAGTTGTTACCTCTTTATGTGGAAAAGGTAATCTGGTTAATAAGTGCTAGAAAAAAGACACGTGTGTCTACCATAAGACTTGAAAATTATAATTATTTTAAAAGTAAGCATCCCACAGATACATTTCTACATAAAACACAGGACAGATGCACAGGAAAACATTCATTGCCTTTATTATTCTTAATATATTTTCCTGCCTGTATTTTTCTTCTGCTTTCAGTTTAACCTGTAATGACTTTTAGTTGTAGTAGTATTGATATTTGCTTACTACAGAATGTCCAACTTTTCTGCCAGGTCTGTTCTTGAGTTAGACTCTTCAGGCAGTCATCAGCATTGTTTGTTTAATCTAAACTTATGAAAATTGATATAGATAGTTACATGAGTCATCTAGCGGCATCCGTGGCTTAGGTGTTGTGAGTCCAACTCATAATTCCAACGTACCGTGATCGAAGCACACAGCAGGCTGCGTAGATTTTCATCATGGTATGGGGCGTCACAGGTCGACCCAGCCTAAAATGGGTACAATGATGGCTGTCCTTGGAAAGTAAAGATAGCCAGCGTAATGCTGACCACATTACCCACCTAGTGCCGATGGTCTGTAAAAATATAGGTGCTCTTCCAATATACTTGATAGGCCTGAAAAGGGATGAAAGGGGATCTTTACTATATGAGTCATCTGTTTTTGAGATTTGCAGTTGGTACTATACAAATGTTAGTTCTTCTGGCTGCAGCATGTGTAATCTTGTAAAATATGCAGAATCTTTATTAAAAAGTTGTAGTTCAAGAAAAGAAAAGTGGTACTTTAATTTTATACGACCACATCTCTTCAGCTTCAAGATTTTGTAAGGAATTCCTAGGGATCCTTAGGGGTTTCCCTGGACACTACCAAATTAAAGAGGGTTAGGGTTAGTGTTAAATATATAGCGACTACCACTAAGCCTAACCCTAACGCCCCTATACTGTGGAATGTTCTGTAGATTTCTCTACCAAATCTCAAGTCGACGAGATGTGGTCGTATACAGTTAGAGCAAAAAAAAAAGGTTTCTTATTATTTAAAGGGAACAAGGGGTTTTGAGAAGTATAAATTACATTTAAAAGCAAGTAAAGTGTTTTTAATGAAAGCTAAACACCAGGAGAACTAAGCATGGTCTGTTTAAGGTAAGTGTTCTTTAGAAAACTGCATGGCAGAAAAGATACAAAGATCGATTATTTAATGGTGCACATATGAGAAAATCTACCCATAGAGAATATTTATAGCATATACGATTGCTAAATTAGTGAAAGAGAAACCGTAACAATAATTTCTGTATAATAAATGTTTGGGAACTCACGAAGCTAGATATATGGTGAAGTGACATATTAATGACACTTTATACCATCTCTCTGACTGAATAACTTGCTGCCTTTTTGTTTTGTGTTTCAGGATGTATGACTTTTGTGTGGCATGAAAAGGGGATGGTTTTTACAGGAGATGCATTACTTATCAGAGGTTGTGGGCGTACAGATTTTCAGCAAGGTCAGTTCAACGAATCACATGTTGACATTATAGAGCACTTTTTTCATGCAACATCAAGTGACTGCATGAGAGGAACTCCTTTAGCGATGTTTGTAATCTATGCAGTCATCATGAAATAACCTCTGTCTTAGCTACCTTTTCAGGAAGTTGCTATCATATTCCTCAAAGACATAAACAGCAGACCAGAAATACTGTATTACTAGCATATTATTCAGCTATATCCAAGGTGCTTTTGTGCTCACTTTAACACTTCCTCTGACTTATAATGTTATGTTCAGTTGTTGAGAATATTAAAGTGCTTGGCTTTCGTATGGGAGGTCCGGGTTTGATCCTCTGTTAGGGATAGAGATTTTTTTTCTGTCAGGGATGAAGATACAATTCCTGACCTGCACAGTATATGGCGATGCACAAGCCAAATGCACAATCCTTAGACTAGTGACTCTGCTACCCCTCCCTCCAGCCTACAGTGTCTTAACCTGTTCACCCCGAAAAGTCGAAAAATTGATACTTCCGTTTAGGTGCAGCTTTAGGTAACTGTTAATTTTCTGACTTGTCTATAAAAAAGTAAAAGTAAAGTAAAGGACCCTTTAGGCGTATTGGGCATATAGGGCTAGACTTATAATTTTATAGACCAATCGGCACAGGATAGGTGATGTGCTCAGCATCACGCCAGCCGCCTTTACTTTCCCGGGACTGCACCCCGTACCAACTCAAGGCTGGGTCGACCTGGGGATAAGGCCATTTAAAAAAAAAAGTCCGGCTCCGCCAGGGAGCGATCCCACGACCTTCCGATCTGTGGCGAGCGTCTAGCCGCTTGGCCACGGCAACTCCCTGACTTGTCTATAGAGACCTGTTTACAAGACGCATAGTTAATGCTATTGGATGAATTTACGCCTGTGCAAATGTTTAGGTTGTCGGGGTATGAATACATTAACTAACAACATAGTAGGTTTTCCTTTAAATGGGCTTTTTAAAATCAAGAAGTGCTAAATATAACCTAAAGTATGACTAGGAAGCTTAACCGGAGGGAATAGAAAAATTCACACAAATATAACTGAACGTTTCGACCAAAGTCTTTAACAGCAATGCACTAAATACAGCACAAATCAAGTTCACGTCAGATTTTCTTATTAGAATCTGTGATAGAGGTCCTGGGGTCACGGCATGAGTCATCCATGTTTTTTTTACGGTCCTGTGGGATGTATTCCATTTAATTTTAAACCCTGTTCTTCATGTTTACTGATAACTTCTTTCATCTGTCTTTATATATTTCAGAAAATCATTTTTAAATATAGATAAATAAATTTGTAATCAGTTTATTACTGACTGTAAAAAATTTATTGTTTTTAAATATTTTGTCTTTGATTCTAACAAGGTCATGACCTATTTTTTTAGTGTTTCTAGGGCGACATACAGTAACGACAGTTTTCAGTTTTATTTAGTGGTTATAAGGTGGTAAGAGAATGCATGGACCAGAAATATAATAAAGAATATAATTGGCTGTAAATAGATACAAAAATATTGTTTAAAAAAATTTTTTATAGTCTAGATATCTACCGATTAAACCCTACCTCCCTCCCCCAAAGGAATAGTCAAAGGTTAAAGGTCAGAGCATCATTTGCATTTCACTGGGTTTTATCTTGAATGGCTTAGTTTCTCTCAGCAGTAGCTGGCTGCCTGCAAATATTGGTATGCAAAGCATACATTCCAGTCGTCAAGGCTCTTGATGATGATGAGGATGACAGAGTGAATATAAAAAGTCCAGAATGTTTGAAGTGTGGGTATTGTGAGACCTAAGTGTGACCAGCCACTGTAGGTGAACCCGTGCCAAAGTCAGTGACTCTGGGTCAGTGAGATAGGTGGGACATGTTGTGTGAAAGTTGTTCTTCACAGTGTGTATTATTTTTTTTTTTTTTTTTTGCAGAGCTTGGACTGTTAGTGGAATTTGGTGTATTATTGTGAATGCTGTCAGTAATGGTAGTTATGGGAGATGAGACAGCAAGATCTAGATGCTGCTAGTGATGGTAGTTATGGGAGATGAGACAGCAAGATCTAGATGCTGCCAGTGATGGTAGTTATGGGAGATGAGATGGCGAGTTCTAAATGCTGTCAGTGATGGTAGTTATGGGAGATGAGACAGCGAGATCTAGATGCTGCCAGTGGCTGTAAATATAACTTTGCGAGTCTTTTAAAAGTAGCACCCTTTGTCTGTTTCCCCCGGGTCAGCCTGGATTATACAGCGATAAGTGTTGTGGTGACTCAGGTAGTGGGCCCATATGCTGAATGCAACTTGTATTATGGTCAAGTCAAGGCTAGGTACCGCCTTTTGAGATGGTGCCGCTTTTGGAGTCTGTCAGTGTTTATACTTGGCAGAATTTAATAGATAGATAGTGTTCAGTCATTTGCCACCAATTTATCGTGGTAATGTGTTTGTCAATGAATAATTCAGACCAATTACACTAAAAGTGCACCTTGGAGTGATATATTATAGTGTTCGTGGTAACCATATCACCTGTGTGTACCTGTGCTAACTTGGTATTGTCCTGTAGAGAGCCAAGTAGTTGTTGTCATCATCATCTAGGGCACATTTGTGTCTGACTGGAGTAAATCATACACCCTTGACACTTGGTAGGATGCATAACAATCGCCCAGTTATTTGAGAAAACAGCTGTGATGGTAAACTGAATGATGTTCAAAACTGATCCCATAGCCTTCAGAGCATGAGGAAACAAACATAAAGTACACATTTATATTTGTGTGTACATGTAACTGTGTGGTGAAGTAGCACCGATGATCAAATGCATTTGAAACATCAAACGAGATCTGGGAAATGTGTACAGATACAGAAGATGGGGATGGCTGAAAAAGGGGGTGGGGGCAAACAACCAGATATATAAACTGAAAAGAGAGCTGATGGAAGTAACGAGTCATATCAACTATCAATCTAGGAAGAAATCCATGTTTTTGTTGCAGGAACTTCTCTAAGGTTGCATATACTACTTTTTTCAGGAGATTCTGCTACACTTTATGGCTCAGTTCATACAAAAATTTTGTCACTACCACAGCATTTTAAGGTTTTCCCGGCTCATGACTACACAGGTAAGATGTAAACAGCATTTTAATTATTTAGTGTTTGTGTGTGGTATGCTAGATGTTTACATGACTATTAAAATGTAAACAACTGGAAGAAAAAAATGTATGCATTGTTTGTCTGATGTGAAGAAATATATTGCTGTGGAACCCTTCAGACCCTTGGGGTACACAGAACAACCTTAAGTGATCAATGATACATTTACTCTCTTTTTCTTCTCCAGCACTCAGACCCTTAAGGTTCATTGCTGCAGATACTACCCACCTCCCTTCATCTCTGTGATTAATCCTCTCTTTCCGGTTGGTGACTCCAAGTGTTTGTAGGTCTGCTTGTATATTATCTCTCCATCGTCTTCTTGTCTGCCGCAGCTGTTTCAGTCTATTAGCTCTCGTAATGCCAATGATCAATTCTGATTTTAAATTGATTATGAATTTTGTTATTACTTCTCACTCTCCATTTTCCGCTGTTTGCATTTTTTCATAGTCCAAAGATTTGTCCTAAGACTGTTTAAAAAAAGTGTGTAATAAGGCTTTAATTCTTTTAACTATGCTCCAGGTTTTCAGAGCCAAATAAAACCACTGTGATATCATTTGTAAAACAAAAACTCTCAGCATTATAATGCAGTGCTTGTTTTGACTCTGATATTTATTTATATATTTATTTTGTGACTTGCTTGATGATTATCCAGAATGTAATGACAGGAATTTATTTTTGGGGATAATTTTTTTTTAAAAACAATACAGTAAGCCTTCTGAAACGTTGGTTTTATTCACTTCTCATAATTTAAAATGGTAGTAAACATTTTCTTTAACATCTTTCAAATAAATGCAGTAATTATATTTTTTAAAAGGTCAAACCATGTCAACCATTGGAGAGGAGTTGAGGTTCAACCCCAGACTCTCTCGCCCCAAGAATGAATTCCTTGAAGTTATGTCCAAAATGCACTTACCATACCCTAAACAGATGGGTAAGTAATAATTCTCACCCATTTATTATTAGACTCTTGCCACCAGCATGATGATCTTGGATTTAAATCTGCATTGAGGTGGATTTTTATAATTTACCTTGGACTCCAGGTTGATCCAGCCTAAAACTGGTACCAGAAAGTGGTCTGTAAAATAGCAGCAGCCAGTGTGGGTACCAGAAAGTGGTCTGTAAAATAGCAGCAGCCAGTGTGGGTACTAGAAAGTGGTCTGTAAAATAGCAGCAGCCAGTGTGGGTACCAGAAAGTGGTCTGTAAAATAGCAGCAGCCAGTGTGGGTACTAGAAAGTGGTCTGTAAAATAGCAGCAGCCAGTGTGGGTTGACCATACCACTGATAAGTCTCTAAAAATGTGTATCTTGTACTATATGGCAGATGAACCAGTGACACCTGGGAAGGTTAACACGGTCAATAAATGCCCGCAGAAGTCGGATGTGTTAGCTGAAAGGTAAAAATATCACAGCCTTGCTCTAGACGGACACAACACAGTTACATCTTCGGACGAACGCAGAAGAAAATGATGAAGAATCCATGACATGAAAAGGGTCCTTTACTTTTTCTTATAATTAAAAAGAATTAACTACATTTTTTTTATTGTTTTATCAGCTTATTAATCATTAATGATGAATGTAATTCAGGTGCATGCAGCACCTCCCATTATTTTTCTCAGTCTTCTTTGTTGTTGTTGTTTTGTTGTAATCATCATCCATGTTATAATGTACATCCTCTCTATCTTATTATTCCCTCTCTAGTTCCCTCCTCCAAGTGTTTTTTTGGGACTGTCTTTATTTTCTTGACTCTGTGTGTTCCGGTGTAAAGACATACTTGTTATACTGTTCTCGGGTTTTTCTAAATGTGTCCTATTTAACACCAGCACCTTGTCTTTACCTCTTGCTTCACTTGAATTTGTTTAGTTCTCTCTCAGAGCTCCACATTATTGATTCTGTCAAATCATTTAATTCTCTGTTTTTGTGTGTAGGCACCAGTTAATAAATGTTTATAGTCTGTTAGTAATTGTTTTAGTTATTCTCTATGTTTCAGCTACATTTAGCAGTCAGTAAATATTTGATATTAGGACTAAATATTTTAAGCTTTATGCTAGTTTTAATTTATTTCAACTTTCACAAATGTCCTAATCTTTGAAAACTCCTCTTGCCTATTTGTATTTTGAAAACTATAAACCCCCCCCCCCCCCCCCCCCCCCCCCCCCCATCGTTGTCTACATTACTGCTTATTTAGACATATGACTTCACATCTTGGAGTGGGGTGTGAGCAGGAGATTAGACCTACTGTTGTGATCTCTCATCGAGTATGGTAATATCTTGCATCTGATTTTTCTGAGTTATAAAGGAGAAAAATAATGGCAGAGTCTAGATTATCAAGCTGTTTTGCAGGTGTCGACTTGAATACCATTCCTGATGGTAGATGTTGTTGTCTTTATAACCATCAATGCATATTTTAATTTTTGCTCATGAAGAACTTGACATTTCATGTCTTTATATGTTGCCTTTATTAAGGTGAAGATTTTTATTGGAAGGAAAGAGGAGGGGGGGAGGGTAAATCCCCTAGTGCTTCATCAGTCGGAGAAAGATTCCTTATCAGTGCTGCCAGAGACCTTTTCATTGACCACAAAACCAATATAAAGTAGAGAATTCACTTCAATAATTTGTTCCATTATTATTTATAGTTTGGCTGTCTGATCAGTACAGGATCTGTCTGGATGAAAGCCTGCCTCTTTACTCATTAACCGTTTGTCAGTCGCATCTCTTAGTGTTTCCAAAATAATCCTAATTAATATTTCTTCACTGTCCTGCAGATCACCTTTATGAGGCTGTTTCACCTGCTGTAATTCTCTCTAAGTATTTCTGTGGTCTTTCAGACTTTACTGAATAATATTTGTAGCAATTTTATAAGTGTGTTTTATTGGCTATATTAACTTCTGCTTGGATATCATCTGGATCTGCAACCTTTCCTTGCTTCAGGAAAGGAGAAAAGCTGTAATTTCCGTGTAATCTCACTGTTGGTATCCAGTTCCATTTTTAAAGGCCAAATATCTGGAGGGATCTTTAGGGCTAAATATAAAATTGCTGTTTATTGTTGAATGTTGAATTATGAAATCGACATCATAGCACTCGGGACACCCCTATAAGCGCTCTGTCCCCATCTTCAGCAGCATTGATATTTAAAACCATGCAGCATCCAATAAATGTGGAAGCTGGATTGTGATGTTCATGCAACATACCCCCCCCCCCCCCCCCCCTTTCCCCGTTTATATTTTCAAAGCCTGAGTATTATGTTCCAATTACTTGTTCATTGTTTAGGCATCCATATCAGATCCAAGTAGCAGTGTCTTCTATAAATAAAAAAGGTAAAGAAAACCCATCAGTTTGATTTCTCAGCGTCTCCATGTGGGTTCCTGTGCCCATTTTGGGAATGATAAAGGTAAAGACACACTGCTGCCCCAACAGGCTCTCATTGTGAAAGGTAACTAATTATGGGTTTTCTTAAATCGGATGTGTTGTGCCAAAGTGTGCAGATATCACAGCTTAGCCATAAATCACATCATACCAACTGCCCTTATAAGGGAGAATACAGAGGTTCACACTAATGTGTTTATATACAGTTGCATTGCCATGTTTATGGTGTAGTAAAATACTGAAAACATGTGTATGCCATCACATTGTATATAAACTCCACCCTACTATTTGGTGCAGCAGTCTGGACAATGATCATTAGTCAAAAAACAAATTCATGTTCTAGATATACAGAAGACTACATTTTTTTTCATGGGGGCATAAAAGGGTCTGAAGAGACTGTGAATGAAAAGTATGACAGAAACAAAAATTAAAAGAAGACTAGTCTGTAACACTTTTATAAAACCATACAGACAGAAAAAGTTCATGACAAAGGAGCAGGAAGTATAATATCAAGAGATAGATGAACATCATTCTCAGCCAGTGTAAACCCAGGGCAAGAAACAGACAGTGTTGAAGATCATTTGCAGCCAATCTTCATTGTGGAGTGGTGGTACCTGATTGATTGATACACCAGTCTACTGACTGAATCTCTTGATATGACTTTGAGCTCTATACCAGTCTTCTGACTGAATCTTATTACAGGACTTTGAACTCTATACCAGTCTACTGATTTAATCTCCTTATATGACTTTGAACCCTAAACCAGTCTACTGACTGAATCTTCTACCATGACTTTGAACTCTGTGCCTGTCTACTGATTGTATCACTTGACACAACTATATCTACTGTACAAGATTCCTGACTGATTCACTCGATTTATTGATTTACCGTCTCCTAATTGTATCCCCTAACATGACTTTGAGCTCTATACCAGTCTACTGATTGTATCAGCCAACATGACTTTTAGCGAATATTGTTGAATAAAATGTTCAGCTTGGCAAATAGAGACATTAGATAGATAATGTATTAAACCACAGATAGTTGGTAGATAAGAAAACAACTAAATGCCACATGGTTTTGAGGAGAAGTTATGAATGTGGTAGATATTTGCATTGAAGCTTTATTCTTTATGTCATCTCACTTTAAATAATCATCAAGGCTCAACAGTTCTACTTAATGCATGACTTTATTCACATTGATATTTCAGAAAAGGCATTGCCAGCCAACATGATGTGTGGTGTCTTTGATGTGCCAGCTAATGCAACAAACTGATAATTAATGGTTGTTTTTTTTTAAAATTTTTACTTAAAAAAATGTGTGCTGCCCAGGATTTATTTTATTTTGTAAGCAAAGTTTTGTTTTTGTGTTGCCATTTTGTAACTGATGTAAGTTGTTATTACCTAATTACTTATTATTGTGTTTTTAATATTCTTAATGAAAAAGACAAGAAAAAAGATCTGTCATGAGGATGTATATATATCAGATAGAAGATGTAAAGGAGTTACGTGGTGGGGGACTTAATTGATCTGGAATGTGGCAGATGTCTGCTCTGAAGAACTATTTGTTCATACCTGACAATTTTTTTGTTGTTGCTTGAATTCTTGTCTGGATAAGAGGAATTTCTGATAAGAATAACAATTTCTTGGGTTTCCGGGGAGGTCTCCTTATCACGTCTGCACCGTATCACCCATTTATGGGAGCAGGTTTAGACATTGCTTTTAGTCAGTATAGATATCGCTTAAGATCATAAGAAGGTTTTCCTCTTGTCAGTTTAGCTATCACTTCTGATCAGTTTTAGTATCACTTGTGGCCAGTTAGGACATCATCTTGGTCAGATCAGCAGGAACTACATAATTGTATAGACAATCATTGCACTGAAGAAATCAGCATACCCTACTGTGCTCCGATGCTTGCTGAGAAAGTCAGTGCACTTAGGGTGGATCTTGAGTCCTAAGACATCATTAACAATTAGTCAGTCAGTCTTTCTATATTTATAATCTGCACTTTGCTTGAACAATATAATTATTTATGTTACTTGTCTACTTAATTGAGTGTAGTGCAGGTTTTTAAAATCTGTATTTATATCATTCCATATTTTTTTAAGATTGCTTTTTAATTAATCATCCTCATTCCTGTCAGTTTGTAAATAAACAATTGTGCTATCTTCACAGTGGAAGTTGGCTGCAATATATCCACTGCTGATTATGGGAATATTACATGGTGAGGCTACAGTCTCTTCCACAGTGAGGCTCTCAAATCATCGTCTGAAAGCCTTGAGAGTGATATTTTTTTCATACTGTCTACTGTGAGAATAATTGATGAAGCATTCTCTTTAACTTTTATTGAGAAGAAGAAGATTGAGACTAATTTCTAAGAAAAGAAAAACTCACAAACCCCAACTAATGTCAAATGTGATTGTTTAAACCAGTTGTAGATCTGCTTTACAATATGTAAGTTCAGCTTGTGAGAAACTGAAATACTGTGGCCATATTCAACATTGAAACTGTTTTAATGGAAGGCATGGTTGCTGGAAGAAGAGGCCGAAGTAAAACAACACAGTTATACACAGTGCAGTAA